CCGTTATTTTTGTTGTTCTTCTGAATATTTATTTATTATTTTTTATGGATTTGTATGCATGCATATGTGTATATATGCACAACATTCATGCAGTGCCTGTGAACGCCTGAGGAGGGCACCAGAAGCCCAGGGACTGGAGTTCAGGTGGTTGTGAGCTGCCATGTGGTTGCTGGGATCTAACCCTGGGTCTTCTACAAGAGTTGCAAATGCTCTTAACCACTGAGCCACTACATCCTCTCTTTTTTATTGTTAGCTAACAGACACTCCTACATTTTAATGGCAGGTTCCTTTATATACAATTATATTCAGGAGTACAAATCAAAAGAACATATCCAAGCTTTCTCTAAAAAAGGTATGTAGCCTCGTGGATCTTATTCTAATCATTTTATTTTACTCAAGGGCTGCAGCCTAAGCACACTGAGCTCCATATCCTCTGCCCTGCTCTAAGTCTTTGCTTCAAAGCCTTGATGATGTAGCTCACTGTTAGCCTCTGCTCTCCCTAACACAAGCATTGAGACCTGGGATTGTTTTCTTTTTCCAATCAATACTGTAGAATATAAAGACATTGAGAATCAGCAAGGTATCCAAGGAGCATGGCACCTATGGATAAAAGGTAGAGCAGAGATAAAAGTGAGAATCTCCTTCCTGGAAATTTCCTTCAACTTCTATTAGGTCAAATTGATTTCAGTGCTGTTGTTGTTTAGATACAGAATGGCCCTGCGAAACGCTGTGTATTAAAGACAGTCTCAGTTGAAGAATTGTCTAGATCAGGCTGGCCCATGGGTATCTGCATGGGTGATTGTCTTTATTGTTTTTCTTTTATTACTTTTTATTCTTCTCTCATACAATACATCCCAACTGAAGCCTCCCCTCAGTCCCTCCTCCAAGGCCCCCACATCTCCTCTCACCCAGATCCATTGTTCCTTTGTTTCCCTTAAGAAGAGAGCAGGCTTCCCAGTTATATAGACCAAACACAGCATCACAAGATGCAATAAGACTAAGCATAAACTCTCATATCAGAGTTGGGTGAGGAAGCCAGGAGGAGAAAAAGGGTCCCATGAGCAGACAAAAGAGTCAGAGACACCCGCACTCCCACTGTTAGGAGTCCCACAGAAACACAACACTAAACAACTACAGCACGCATGTAGAGGGCCTAACACAGACCCATGCAGACTCTGTGCTCGTCACTTCAGTCTTTGCGAGCCCTGCTTAGTTGATTCTGTGGGCTGTATTCTCCTGGTATCCTTGACCCCTCTGGCTCCTACAATCTTTCCTCCTCCTCTTCTGTGGGGTTCCCCAAGCTAATGTTTGGCTGTGGTTCTCTGTGTCTGCTCCCATAAGCTGCTAGAGGAAGCCCCTCTGATGCCAACTTGGGCTGGACACTGATCTATGAGCAGAATATCATTAGGAATCATTGCACAGGCTTTTTGTTTTTGTCAGTCATGTTTGATTCAGCCTAAGGTTTATAAACCCAGCTTCCAGATCCTGGCCATACAGGCAGTGTCAGGCATGGACTCCTTCTTGTTGCTTGGGACTCAACTAGACCGGTCATTGGTTGGCCGCTCTCACAAGCTCTGAGCCCCCATCTCTGAAACCCATCTTGCATGCTGGATTGTCTTTATTGCTAATTGTTGTGGACATACCCAGCCCACTGTGGGTAGCCCCATTCCCTAGACTGAGCCTTTAACTGTATAATAGTACAGAAAGCTAGTTAACTACTAAGCAGCTGTTAACAGACAGCACAGGTGCGTTCATTTCTCTTGTCTCTGAACTATGGGTGTGGAATGCCTACTGTCCCAAGCTCCTGACGCTGTGACTCTTCTATGATGGGCTGTAACCTAGAATTGTGAGTCAAATCAACCCTTCCTTTCCTTCCCTATCACTGCAACAGAAGTAACACCAGAGCACAAGCACATAGGCGACTGTGAGAGTCTAAAACATTTTGACAGACATGCCTATGAAAATAGCTGCTATTTTCTTATTAGGATTATGGGACATTAGTGGCTTCAACACATAGCACAAGAGCCTGGCACAAAAAATGTTTATTTTACCATTTATCCCACAATCCAACATCAGTCAGCAGAGGCTACTGTACGGTGGGAAGGGCTGGAACCCGGATTCCTGAAGGGTGATATTATATAATCCTATTGATACAACAGCAGCTAGGGCCTCAGAAAGAATACTTAAGTGTAGCGTGGGAGATGTTGTGGGCTAGTCTGGATGTCATGGACACCCTTCTTCCAGCCTGTTCTGCTTTGTTTTGAGACAGAGTATCAATGTGAAGCCCAGGCTGGCCTGGAATGCACTCCATACACCAGGCTGATCTCATACTGACAGAGATCCACATGCTTCTGCCACGCAAGTACTGTGATTAAAGGTGTGCACCGTGCCCAGATCTATGTATTCTTTCTTGACTCATGGGGCAGGATTAAGCAGTCTATCTGTACACACAGAAGGAAAAGGGGTGAGGACATTGTATTGGTCATTCTTCCATGTCTCTGGGAGATGGCCTCCAGAATTCCTGCAGACACAAATCTCCCGAAGTCCCTGAATCTGAAAGGGTGTGGCATCTGCATATAACCTATGTATCTACACTTAGGGGGTAGAACAAATCATCTGTAGATTAACCCTACAAATCTGGATAAATTACATCATCTCTGGGTCACTTATAATATCTACCAAAGTCCAAATGCTGTGTAAATCATTAATCTACTCTATGCCTAGGAAATAATGACCAGAAAACATCCGATTTTTCAATACAGACATGATGATGCCTAAACACTTTCAGTCCATGGTCAGTTGACTCATAGATGCTATAGACACAGAAGCAGAGAGCCATTGGCCTCAAGGCTATTCCCAAGGCCCTTGACCCATTAAGTGACCCACCTAAAGAGCAGCTGGCCTCTCTGCCCTAGCTTTCTGCCAGTGTGACAGTACACCCGAGATCATCACCAAAGAGGAAAGAGTCGTTTTGAATCATGATTTAAAAGGCTCAGACCATGGTCACCTGGTCCCATTATATAAGCAGCATAGGGGCAGAGTACATCATGGTGGAGATGCAGAGTAGGGAGGTCATATAATCCTTGAGGAGACAAGGGAGGAGAGTGGGTGAAGCGTAAGAGCCAGAGTCCCAGCAGTCTCTTCAAGAAGTTTACTCTGCCATGTCTGACCTCCCAAAGTTCAATCACCTCCTATCAATGATAATGGTACAATATGGTCTACAAATTTGTAATGTGTCAACTTTGGGTGGACATGTGTACAAGTGTGTATGTGTGTTATTCGTGAATGTTTGAACTGCATGTAGAGGCTGCAGGCTCAATCACAGTCCATCACAGGGTCCCTTGTTGAATCAAGAGCTTGCCAATTCTCTAGTGTGGGTAGCCAGTTTGCTCTGGGTATCTGGTTTCTGTCTTCTACCATCTAGGAGTACAAATGAACCTACACGCTCATCTAGTTTTGTTTTGTTTTAAATGTGGGTTCTGAAGCATGCTTTATCTATAGTCTTCTCACCAGGCCCCAGAAGACAGTTAAGATCCAAACCATAATATTTTCCCAAGCTCCCTATCAGCCTGACTACCCTCACCTCCCAGAGTTATGGTTTTAGAACCATGACCACAGAGAAACATTTCCTACATGAAAACACAGCTAATGTGTGTTTGTGTTTGTGTGTGTGTGTAGGACAGAGATTGGCATTGAGTGTATTTATAGTTGCTTTTCACCTTATTTTTTGAGACACAGTCTATTACCAAACCTGGAGCTTCCTGATTGGCTAGACTGGCTGACTAGTAAGGCCCAAGGATCTCCCCCTTTCCACCTCTCCTGCTGGGATTACAACCCCACTCTACCATGCCCAGCTTTTTCTTTTTTTAAAACATAGTTTGTTGAAGATCAAACTCAAATCCTAGAGTTTGCCTAGCAAGTGCTTTACCGACTGAGTCAGCTGCCAGCAGTACTGTTTTGCTGTCGTTTGATCTGGGTTGGTGGCTAACAGCAGGCTAATGTAGAATTGTCCCCAAGACTATTCATGTTTTGGCAGCTCCCCGTTCTTCTTGGCAAATGCAGTGGGGACTTGGGGGGGCACCTCCTCTTCCCTGTGTACTGGATATTTCTGCTGCTCACACTGTAGCCCTAACTTTTTAAAAGATTAATTTCTTGGTGATTTTCCTGTAATGCATTTGATCATATTCATCCCAGCGCTTCTCCTTTCTCTTCTCAGTCCCCCCCTTCCCACTAAACTCCCCAATGTCATGTCATCTTGACGTGTGTTTCGTAAGGTGTAATAACCCATAAAGTCCAGTTGTATTGTCCACTTACCACTAGAGGTGGGGCCACCCAGTAGAGTCACATCCTTACAGAAAATGACCCTCTTTCCTGCATAAGCCATCAGTTTTCCATAGATCCACAGTTAGAAGTGGGAGCTCACAGGGCCTCCCCACTTCATGCCAGAATGTTGACCACACTCAGGAACTCACAGAAGCTATGACCATCTGCACAAGACCTACTCTGTGGTATCTTTTATTCTCCTCCCTCCTCAGACTGAGAGAGAGAGAGAGAGAGAGAGAGAGAGAGAGAGAGAGAGAGAGAGAGAGAGGGAAGGAGGGAGGGAGGGAGGGAGAGAGGGAGGGAGAGCACACTCTTTGGCAGGCTAGTGCCTTCATCCATCATCTCAGAACCCTCATGGACCAGACATCTGCATACAGATGTGTGAACACCCAGCATTGTTATCAATCTGCAGACACACATACATGTTTTGGTAGTATCTTTTGTGTATGAGTGTTGGGGGGTGTTGTGTTTTGGGTTTAAGCTGTTTCTTTTGGAGAGTTTATAAAATGTCTTAAGTGGTGACTCACCCAGAAAGAAAGGTTCCTCACTCAAACAAAACAAACCACAACGGCACCCAGAGCCTGTAACTTGTCTTCCTATCTGATTTACCTTTATGCATTTTTCTAAGCCTTGGTTTTCTAATTAGGGAGAAAGAAGAGACAGTCTTATTCCCACACTCCGGCAGCATGTGACCGCATTTCAGTTATATTTTCCTTTGGGCTGGATAAGGGTAATGAACAGATCTTTATCAAATAATTTGACAGACTTTGTTCCGGCCAGCAACTCATGCTAATAAGATGCACTTGGAGTCTCGGCTGTGTTTGAAGTTCACCCCAATATCAGCAGAAAGTCAGAGAGAGGCTCCGGAGCTGTCAGGCGTAATCTGTGTGACCAGCATCGTCATTCAGAGGCAGAAGCTGTGTGAGCCCATCTCTTTGGCAAACCAAAGGTCTGTGAGGGTCTGTTGAGTGAGAGGGTGATAAGAGCCACGGTGGGGTGGGTTAGGCTCAGAAACTTAATGATCAAAGTATGGTCCTTCAGATTGCCTGTCAACTGCAACGTTATTCTGTGGTGGTTGCTCTTCAGCGTCAACTTGGCTGGATTTAGAATCACCTGGGAGACACACCTGTGAATGTGTCTCTGCGGGGGTTTCAAGAGAGTTAGTGGAAGAGAGAAGCACCCTGAATGTGGTGGGACTGCTCCACAAGCTGGTGTCATGGAATGAATACAAAAGAGAAGGGAGCTGAGCACTGTCAATCATCTCTCTGCCCATGACTTATAGCTGCCTCATGCTCCTGCTATCATGGGCTCCCCGCCATGATGGACTGAGAGCCCCAACACTCCAAATCCTCCTTTAAGTTGTTTGCTGCCAGGAATTAATTTGGTTGTAACAATGAGAAAAGAAACTGAACTGGAGTTCCTCACTGAATGAGGACATGCCACTGTTTTATGGCTAAGTACCAGATTTGACAGGCGAGGACTTGCTTTATGAAGTCCTGTGTCCTCCTGTATATGTGTGTGCCTGAAACCACACACATCTGCCCAGCAAGATGGACAGCAGAGGTGAACAGTGTAGTAACACACAGAACTCTGCATCTTGCGCACAGTGGGGTCAGAATTGGGGCCGATTTGCCCCCGTTAGAATCGTCTATGGTTTAACCATTTGTACCTTGTTTACATCACGGTGATCTTCCAGAAAATGATGTGTGGTGCTACTTTCATGGTGACCACTGGTAGAGTGCTTACAGTGTGATTGACATTGGCTGAATCCTCTACAAATGACGGTTTCATTTTTGTGTGTGGGAGAGAAGGAGAGTGAAAGGGAGAGGGAGGGGGCTGAATGCACACTGTATGTGCCCAGATGTGCACTTTGGCCACAGAAGAAGGTCAGGTGACCTGCCGTATCATCCTTTGTCTTATTCTCTTGAGGCAGCTCTGTAGCTGCCATTACAGTCTCAGAGCAGGGTGTGCTGGTGGATATTGTGTCTATTTTATGGGGGAGCTGTTGATGACTGAAGTACTGGATAATCTGCTAAGTGGAGAACAAAGTAACAACTCAACCCAAGGTCTGGCTGCCTCTAAAGTGTGTGTCCCTATGTTATGGCCCCGCAGTGAATTGTCACCAATGTCCCAGCCTAGGCAAGAAATGTGTAGGCAGAGCCCATGGAGGATGCTTGGGTTCCCTTTGCTTGGTTAAGACATCCTCCCAGTTCTAACCTCCCACATCCCTTAGGGCCTGCACCCCCTGAATCCTAAATAAAATTCTCCTTGCTCTTTTTACTCAGTTCCCAGAATTCCTTTTTTCCCTGGGACCTGAACTTCTCTGTCCTCCCCAGCATCCGCCTGTGCTACTGGCTCTGGAGGGATGAGGTATAATAATCATGGGTCTATGTTGGTATCACTGAGGATTTTGTAATAAATTCAATTAGGACTCACCTTGGTGCTTCTCAGTTTTCCAAAGATGGACTAGGTAGCTTCAACCATGTGAGCATTTGTTTTAAGCACCAAGGTCAGGAAGCCAACCCCCTGTTTAAATAACAAAGTCATTGTCTCATATCCAATTTAAGAGAGAGGGATAAAGGGTGGGGAGGGAAGAGGGGGATGAGAAGGAATGAAGTAAGAGGTAGGGCTGAAGGAGACAGGAGAATACCTCATGCTCAACTGCCTCCTGATGCCTGCATTCAGATCACACTAGGACAGAGGGCCAGAGGGGGCTGCGTTGGCTCTCCATGCTTTGCATCCTCTCCATCATGTCTTCCGGGGGTTGAGCCCTTCCTGCTGTGTGCTCCAGGCTGCTCATCCTAATCTCCTGAGCCTCTGCTTCAGCATCTCTGAAGTGGTGAAGATAATAGCTCATGTCCCCAAAGAACTGTGTGGAGAATTAAATGGGAACATTATGTGTCATAGTTACAGAACTCTTGGATCTCTCCCTGGGAAGGCTACCATGCCTGTAGTAACTTCACTTGCAGAATCTCTGAAGACCTAATGAGCGATTCCTTCTGTTTCTTTCCTAAATCTGTCTATCCTTTCCCTGGCCCAAAGGCATCATTGCAGGACTTGCTTTATTTCCACAATAGGCAAAATGTCTGCCTTTCCCCACTGACTGCTCAGAGGCTGCTTTGCTTAATCACCTCCTGGTCGGGGTGCTCATCCTGTCCTAGGGAAGCAGCCAGGTGGTAGAGCACTGTGTGTAGGGTCCTGTAATCCCAGTATTGGAAAAAAAGAAAAAGGTAGGAAGTATGGGAAATATTTAATCTATGCCTTAGTTACATTCTGCTATAATTTGCTCTCACAAATTCATTTGTACATCCCTGAATGGGCATCAGTTTTAGGGTGTGTGCTTGTGTGTGTGTGTGTATGTGTTCCCATATGTGCAGATGTGAACATGCGTGCACAATTCATGCCAGAGGAGGATGTCTCTGACTTATTCTCTTGAGATGGTCTTTCACTGGTCCTAGAACTAGGCTGGAGGTCTCCACCCATCTCTTTCCCCACAGTACAGGAAGTTACAGGCTTTCACAGTCATGCCTGGATCCTTTATATGGTGACTGGGGATTCAAACTCAGGTCCTCTTGATTGGTCAACAAACATTCTTACCCACTGAACCATATGCTCAACCCTATATATGTTTTTCTTTATAAAGGGATATATTGGAAAGAGGGGAAAGGTAAGAAATTGGGAAAAACCTAGATAAATTGACAGAAGACAATGAGTGTCAGACTAGAAAGAAAAACAGGAAGTCATTGATCAGGAATTTAGGATCTCATGCCACGCATGACCCACAGTACTAAAGTTGCATTTTGAGGGGCACTGTAAGATGGTTCTGGGAGAGGAACTCTTATATTTGTCAAATGGGGAGTCTACACCATGTAGGGTCACGTGCATGAGCGAGTTGAAATGTTAAGCTTTCAAATGTTAAAATTCATTACTCAAGTGTTCGAGGGCATGACAGCAGGTGGTTCATGAGTTGTCACTCAGCCCAGTTGGGTTGAAGTCTTGGCTCTGCCACAAAGTGGCATCTTTTGCTCTTGAATCTCACCTGGAATGCAGGTTGTAAAGATTTCACAGGTAGAGGCAGGCAAATAGAACAGAGAGATTCACATTGGCATCTTCCTTTTAAATGGCCACTGAGTGTGTATAATGTTAGTGTCTGGATTTTGACAGCAAAAGGCAGAGCTTAAGTTCACATCTGACAAGAGGAAGGGATAAAAGGGATGAAAGGTAGGGTGGCCTGAAAATGCCTAAGCTAGGTTACTAATCTATGAGATGCGGCACCATGAAGGACAGACGTGCCACAGCTCAGATAGAACTGCTTTGGATTTTTTTCTGTTATCTGGGGTCTTCGGTCTGTCAGTGCACATTTTAGGACTGGTTTTGAACCGTTTTGTGAAGGAGATCACTGGGATTCAAGGGAGATCCCAATGAATCTACAATCTCTTTAAGCATGGGGTCTTCACAAAGTTCCTTCTGCCAGCCCAGGAACATACTGGTTCTTTTATCACCCGTGTCATCATCAATTCATTTGCAGAATCTTGAGATTCCCAGTCCAGCACCTTCTTGGTTGGGAGACCATGGCATGGGGAAGAAAGAGGCTTGGTGGAAGGGGAGTGGCGTGGACAATAGGACACATGGGGCACGGGGGCTGTGGAGATGGCTCAGTGGTTTTGAGCCCTTGTTACCCCTTCAGAGGACCCAGGTTCAGTTCTTAGCATCCACGTGATGGGTGACAACCATCTGTAACTCTAGTTCCAGGGTTTCTGATGTTCCCTTTTGATCTCTGTGAACACCAGGCACGCACAGTGCATATACACGCAAATACTCACACACTGAAATAACTTAGTCTAAAAACCCACATGTGATATGAAAATGGAAGTGGGAGGGATACAGTAAAGATAAGGGCCACAGAAATGGGGGAGTAAAATAGAGGATCAACCAAAACTAAGTATGCATGAAAACGAAATAGGAAACCTGTGATTTTGTATACTAGTTTAAAAATAAATACACAGAAAACCCAATGGTACCTACTCAGTTTGGATGGAAAGGCATCTCACAGGCTGGGGCATCCTCAGCTGTCCTGGTTCCCCCCTCAGCATCCGACCCCTCAGTGCGCCCTGTGTTTGTGCAGCTCCCCCAGGACGCACTGTTCCAGATGCATACAGCTGCAAGAGTCTGGGGCCAAGGACCCGGTGTTCTGTGGGAGAGCATTGTGCTCTCATCCTCCCCACTGGGGCTGATGGGTCCTAACACAAGCCTTCCCTGTGCCTGGCTGGGACAGCAGCCACAGCACGTAGACAATGGGTACATGGCACCCCCAGGTTCCCCTTTCCGATTCTTGCTCCCCCGCCCCTTCCCCCCTCGCTGGTGCTTTCTTTTTTCAGTCTTGGAAACATCCAGTTCCTTCCCTGCAAAGGAACATCACGGAGAGCTGGCTGTGATTCATGAACTTTTTTAGAAGCCACACACTGATCCTGTGAGCCTGGGGGATATCAGCCCTCCCGGGAGCAGATGAGAAAGCCTGGCCATGCTGCAGATGCTGGTTTCTTTTCTTTTTAATGCTTTAAAAATACATGTTTTCTTTATTATGTCCTCTCTCCAGGTGAGAAAACATGGTGGTTAGGCCAGAGACACAGCTCCGTGGGTACAGGCTTGAGCTGTGAAGACGTTTCTATTCCCAGACCGGCAAGGTGGAAGTTCTGTGGCCTCCATACGCACACCTTAGCCCGTGCACATGCTCACCCATACACACAATAAATAATTTTTTTTCCAGAGAGATCTAGAAGAAACCTTGGCTGAGTGTGTAGACACACAAAGGGGACAACTTTAAAGAATTTAGGTCTCGGGCCTCAGTGACATAATCAGTTCATGGGTGATTCGGGATGACCTTGGAACTTTTGAGTGGATCTAGGGAGTTAAGAGCTATTAAGCTGCAGATGTGTCCCCTCAATTCAAGAGCAAGGATGCTGTCACAGACTGGGAGGTCTCACAGAGGAACATTCTGTGCAGGGTGGGGAAGAGCTGTTCATCTTTTGGAGGTGGCTGGTAACTGCCGACTCTTTCCTGTCCCCTTGTGTTTCCTGCTGCTTCTGGTTCCTCAGCTGCTGAAGTCAGTGGTCCTTCTGGCTGGACAGAACCATGCACGTTTCATTTCGCATGCATGCACGGGGGTCCTGAGATGCGTGGGCGCTGTTGTAGAAGCGCAGGACACAGCTTGAACAACATAGACAAAGACCTATTCCTCATTGACCAGAGCTATGGAGGGGGCTGGCAGTCAGAAAAAGGGGGAAATATGCAGAATGCCCAATGAGGAAGTGCTCTGAGAGCATGGATGGCTACACGGGAGGGAAGTAGACCTGGGCACTTGAGCACAGTGTGGGCACGGCAAGGAAGCCACCGATGGTTTGCAAAAGGCAGACAGGATAGCAAGCAAACATCCTGAGGCAGAAACACTGACGATCAGGTGGCCAGCATGGCTGGAGCAAAGTGAGCTGGAGAGGGCTGTGTAGAACCAAGACCAAGTTCCCAGATGAGTGGAGATGTCAGGATCCATCTGAAGCAGGCCTGACCTCGGGTATCAAGGACACAGCGAGCTGCAAGGAACCAGACTTCTCTGCCAGGCACATTCCCTTGGTCAGCTTCTGCCACTCATTGCTGACAAACGATGAATACAGTGACTACCTCAACCCACATCTCACACTGTTAAGATTGGTACTCTCACTGCCTTGCTTTACGGACGAGGCTTGGAAGATTGGCCATGGTCACAAGTCACACAGCTAGCCAAGTGAGCAGTTTGAATTGGGATGAGGCACATGGTCCCTTAGATATGTGCCTCTGGCTGGCACAAATAGTGTGATTAGACCCACAAGGGTCTTTCATACGTGAGCACAAAGTGAGTGCTTGTACATCATATCTTTATGTCGCTGGGCATAAAGACATCTTGTAGAAGTGTGCATAAGCTTTTTCTTGACATCATTTAGGAGCCCCATGTAAAAACTCATTTGAGAAGATCTGGTAGGTTTGGGGCTTTCTGAGTTCAAATCCTGAATCTGCCACTCGCTACAAAGAAACCTGACCTTGGACTGGTGCTGCCTCCCTGCTGTGACTCAGTTTCCCCAGGAATGGCATGAGGCTGGCACAAGCATTCCCCTCTTGAGTAGGTGCTAAGGGTAAAATACTTTAGTCCAAGGTCTTGGCCTATGGCCAACAGACAGGATGTTTCTGATCCAGTCAGCTGCTCCTGACTTGAATTGTCATGGGAAGTTCCCACCTCCTTGTTCCTTGATCCTTCTGGTGACCACCCAGGTACTAAGTCAAGACACGAGACTGGACTGAGCCCACAGTGGATTATTTTCTCAGTCACAAATTGGCTGTGTGAACCTCCCCTATGCTCTTTCTCCACTTGGGTACCCCGCCCTTCTGGAAATGCTGGAGGAGATGTTGTTTGAATTTGCTTTGACCTTTTGGGGTAGAAGACCTTATCCCTTCAGTGGCTCCCTGAGTCTCAGAGCTATTCCTCTAAGGTCACCCTCTCTGTATAACAATTTCCTATAACACTCAACCCTGGGGGTTCAACAAGCCATTCTTGTGTATTGTCTGGTGTCATGGTGTGGCCACTCCTGTCTCCCTCTTTCCTTGCTTGAGACATTCTGGAAACTACTAGAAAGGGTCTCAGGAGCTTCAACTCAACCCAAACCAACTTCTGCTCTTAAAGTGTCTGAAAGTCATATTAGAGTCACTACACCCCTGGATGGTGACAGAGAGGTAGCCATTGGCACATGCCATATTTTAGGGCACAATTAGAAAGAACACTAAGGTTTAATAGCTGTGTATGTGTGCATGCATCTATTTCTCTCTCTCTCTCTCTCTCTCTCTCTCTCTCTGTGTGTGTGTGTGTGTGTGTGTATGTGTTCTCATGCACACATCAGAGGCAAAGGCAGGTGGATTTTTGTTGATGGTGTTTCTGTCCTACCAAGTCCCACTGATGTTTAGTTCCAAATAAACATACTGAGGTTTATAATAATTAAAAACTGGCCATTGGCTCAGGATTATTATTGGCTAGCTCTCTCTTAATTATTAACCAATTTCTAGTAAATTATATATTGCCACGAGGCTGTGGCTTACCTGTAATGCTCCAGCATGTTACTCCTTTGGTGGCTACATGGCATCTCACTCTTGTGACTACTGCTAGTCTGGTAGCCCTGCCTATGTTTCCTGCCTGGCTACTGTCCGTTGACTGAAACAGCTTTATTCATCAACCAATAAGAGAAACATATATTCACAGTATAAAGAAGGACATCCCCCCACAGATTTCTATGAGATGAAGGCCAGCTCAGTCTACATAGCAAGCTCCAGCCCAGCCAAGGCTATAGAGTGGGACCCTGTCTCAACAAGAACTAAAATATAAAAAAAACCCTCCAAGTTTTAGAAATGAATATAATGAACACGTCAAACCTTTAATGCGAATTTTAAAACTTTAATTTTCATCAGAGAAGAAAGAAGTTGAGCTGCTTTTGAAGACTCTCCAGCAGGGCCTGGGAGCCTCAGACCATAAAGCAGCTGTCATGCAGGTGTGAGGACCTGTGTTCAATCTCCAGATCCACCCCACTCACACCACCAAACTAAATCTGGACAGGGTGGCCCACTGTGAGCTTTGGATTCAGAGAGAGACCCTGTCTTAAAAACTAAGTAGGGCTGAAGAGATGACTCAGTGGTTAAGAGTACTTACTGCTCTTCCAGAGGACCTACATTCAATTCTTAGCACCCACAACCATCTATAACTCTACTTCCAGGGCATCTAACACATTTTTATGGCCTCTGAGGGCACCAGACACACATGGTACAAGGCATATAAGCAGGTTGAACACCTACAGACATAAAATAAAATAAAACTTAAAGATATATAAGGTAGAGAAGTGATTGAGGAAGGAACCCAATGTCACTCAATCTCATGCCCCCCTCTCATGTGTGTGCACACACCCACACCCACACACTCACACACTCACACACTCACACACCCACACACCCACACACTCACACACTCACACACCCACACACTCACACACTCACACACTCACACACTCACACACTCACACACCCACACACTCACACACCCACACACCCACACACCCACACACCCACACACCCACACACTCACACACTCACACACTCACACACCCACACACTCACACACCCACACACCCACACACTCACACACCCACACACTCACACACTCACACACTCACACACTCACATGCCTGTGCAGCACTTGCACCTGCACACGTGTGCACACACACACACAATTAACATTAAGGACAACAGCACAGTGCATAGCTAAAGTAATGGCCATGCCAGATGAGAATCTGTCACCCACCCCTAGACACCCACCCTGTTCCCTAAAAATATGACATGCGTCAAGAGCCACCTGTCCATCACTGTCTGGGGATGTTGTGACTCTAGGATGACTTCCAGGCTCTTTAACAGCAGAAGTTGGTTTGGGTTGAGTTGATGCTCTTGAGAGTCTTCCTGGTAGACACCCACCATGGGATTGCAGCCCACTCTGTGCGGCTTTTGTAGTTTCAAAGTTTAGGGTTCACCATGTGTTAACCATACACCCCAGCCACCCCCACTTACTTAGCTCAGTAAATTCTGCTCAAGGGGCATATTGTAGCCCTCCTATTTTAGACTACAGAATTCAGTAGCAGAAGATAGGTTGCTGCCTTGGCTGCTGTCCAGTGTCATTTAATCCTGGAAGGACCCCCGTGATAAAACCACTCTCAATCTCTGTTCAAAAACGTTGTTAAGCCTCCTGTTCAAATTTATTGTTCAAAACTGTTCGTACTAAGAAATACAAGCCTTCCTGAGAGCCGTTCCTCAAGCTATCTCTTGTAAGACGGCTTGGGCACGCTGTAAATCGTTCCTCCGTTGGTACAAGAAGTCATAACAGCATCTTTGGTAGCAGCCGGCTTGTAGCTAGAGCTGAGAATGGCTGTGAGGAGGGGGTCTTTCACTCCTCTTTAGAGTCGGGGTGGAAATTTACTGCCACCTCAACCACCTCTGTGTAGCCCTCAGATGCATAAAAGCCCTTCTGTGTGATGGTGGGTTGGTTTTTAATATTGTGGCAGGTGTGAGTGTACATGTGCATGTGTGTGTTTGTGTATGTCTGTGTGTATGT